TTTTTGGATAGTATTTATGCTTTGTAATGATTTGAACTCGTGTAATTTGAATTGGATTCATGTTGGGAAGAAATTTTCTAGGTTTTCGAGAGTTTCTGGTAGTAAATCTGCCGGGCACAATTCTTGGCATCAGGCATGAATTCATCAGGGGCCACCATTGCCAAATCACGCCGGGCGCGAGGCTAGTCGCGCCAGGTGCAATTTGAAATGGGAATCCCTGGGTGAATCACGCCGGGCGTGGGGAGAACCATGTCGGGCGCACTATCAGACGTGGTCCTTGTGTTTTGGTTACTGATATTGCGTCGGGCATGATCTGAGCATGCCGGGCGTAGGTACTCATTGGGAGTCTCTATCTAGAATTGTGTCGGGCTTAGGATAATTGCGTTGGGCGCAAAGACCTTTGTAGGTCTCTGTTTGAGTTTTACATCGGGCAGGATATTAGTGCACCGGGCGTGAGTATCTTGGTCTTTAAGTCTTCATGAAAGTTGTAGCCTTGGATGTTAACTTTCCAATGGAGTTGGAATCACCCAAAAAGGAGGTCTAGAACTCCAGATATGACTGTTTTAGTGAAGAGGGGTCAAGCTGCCAACATTGGTTATAGCTGTTGCGGTTTTTAGAATTTTTAACAAATTATATGATGCAATTAGGACTTGGTCTCTTCATAAGAGTTGTAGGAAATCTTCTAGCATTTTATATAAATGTCGGTAAAAAAAATAATGGCCATTATATAGCCGTTAAATAATAAATTAATTACCAAAAAAAACTAATTTTGGTGTAGTGAATGTCTTTGTTCGACAGTAATCTACTTGAAATCCATGCTTTACATATAGTCAATCATCTAATGAAATAATGATGAACGAAACTTAAAGCTTACTTCGATTAATGAATAATAAGGAGAATGTTTATTGTAGACAAAACAGGCAATCAAGTAATTTGACAAAGTTGGCAATTAAGTTAGGAATGTTAATAAAAGTTTTGAAAAATTCAATATGAATCAATCCATTTTATAAAATTAGATTGATTAATGAGTATTATTTATTTTATAAAGTAAATCAATTTAATTTTTTTAAATATGAATTGAATTTTTTAAAATTAGATTGATTCGATACATTATAATTATCTACTTTACACTTATATATACATCACTTTCTTTAAAAAATATTAATTAAATTGAATCAATCCACTTTGTTAAAATAAATTGAATAACCAAACCAATTTTAGAAAATGAGTTAATTCATACTTTTTTTAAAAATAAATCAAATTTTTAGCATGAATCAAATAAATTATAAATTAGTTCAAATTGATTTAGAGTTTTTTTTTTTTTGTCGTCAATCAAGTTTTATACATGAATGCTTATACAAATGCTAGTTTTGATGCGATCAACATTCTATTATGTTGTCATTAAAATTTAAGATTGATTTTTTTAATATTATATTTTAAGCTTATTATATTTTTAAAATATTTTAACCAATTTGCTAATTCATGGTTCTCTACGTCAGAGGATCCCTAAGTGGAGTGATCACCCTAAGTAGATTTCAAGATTTTTAGTGTTGATGGCACATTTTGTATTTTTTTATAACCATATAAATTTGTGACATTTTTTTCGCATCCAAAATTTAACACCTTCTTTTATTATCCCTCTCCCACTTTTATATATTAATATCATTATATTTCTCATTTATATTTTTTTTCCTATATCTCTCTTGTGATCATGGTTTAATGAACGGAGATGATAAAATAAGTCATTTGCAAAAAAAAAAAAAAATAGTCAAAATCGTCTTTTTAATCAAAAGTCGTTCATTATATTAAGTGATACGTCTCTGAGTCTGAATTAGAATAACTATTTTATTCTTATAAAAGCTGAACTAGTGAAAATAAATTATACTTCTTTATAAAATTTATTAAACTATATAAAAACAAATCATCTCCTTTTAGAAAACAACCACTCACCTTATTTTAAAAAGATGGTCGGTGATTGACTCAATTCAAAATAAAAAAATTACTAAAAAGGTGAAAATAAAAATAGAAAATGTTAAAAAAGATAGAGTTTTTTCTTCTAAATATGGCAAAATAAAAGATCGTGATAAAATCAAAATTTCGCGACTGTACTAAGTTTAACGATGTAAATCTTGATTAGCTTTAATTTTCTTAATTTTTAATAAAAAAAGTTAAAAAATGTTTAAAATCGAAACCAGCTATATAAAATCACAAGTAAAAACCACGTTAAGTGAGTTTATAGTATGTTTGGATGAAGAATTTAAATGAAGTAATTCATTTATTTGAAGAATTTTAAATTTTTTGAGGTAAAATACCTTGTTTAGATAAATAATTTATAAAGAATTTGAAATTTAAGTATTTGTGAAATTTCTTGAAATAGTAGAATTTTAAATTTTTCCAAAAAAATAAGAATTTGAAATTTCTCATATTTTTTTCTTTTTATTTCACTTATATATTTTATTTTATCTCTTATCTCTTCATGTTTTTAATTATTGAATATTTAAAAAGATTTTTAAAATTATTAAATATTATCTAATATTATTTTTTAAAATTATTAAATATTTAAGAATTAGCTAATATTTATTTTTATAAAATTTAATTTAAAAATATTAACATATAAATATATTTTTAAAATCAATTTTACCATGGTAGAATCAAATTATCATATCCAACCCAACAATTTAAAATTTGAATTAACTTATCAAAATAAAATATTTTAAAAATGATAGAAATTGAAATCAAAATAATTCAAATACCAAAAATTTAAAATTCCTTAAATTTATAAAATTTCTCATCCAAACACACCATTAAAAAATCTATATCTCACCTTTAGTTATATATAAGTCATGCGGCTATATACATGTACTCAACATAGGTTCAACAATATTTATCTATAAATTTAGCATAAACAAATGTGTGATACTTTAATAACAAAATTAATTAAATTTATTAGAAGAGACTCATCTCTTACAACTTAGTAAATAAAGATTTGAACTTTCGTTAACAAAGATATTTGGATTTGATTCTCTTAAAATTATAGAATGAAATTTAATAACTATTAATTAAAAATCAACATTAATATTATAATTTTATATCTTATTTTGTACGAATTTAACTTTATCATAATTTCAATTATTAATTTTTCAATCAACAATAATGAATGCATTTTATTTTATTTTAAAGCATATTCTCTTAATACGAGATATTTACACATGATATTAAATCGTAAAAAGGGCACTTATGAGAAAAAGAAAAAGAAAAAAAAGTGTGACACGTCATGTAATTCCTTTTTGCCCATGCTAAACACCAAATTATAGAAAAGTCAAAGGCCATGAACCTTATTCAGCAATTGCTGCAAATTGTGTAAAGACTTAAATTTCCATCATTTTTATGACAAATCATACTCTTGATGGACCCCAATCACATACAACTCACAACCTTAGAGCATCTCCGGCATATTAGCTATTTTTTATTTTATTAATTGCTTAAATTTTAGTACTAGAACTTCTATAAATAATTTTGTTAAAATTTAAATAACACATAAAGTAAAAAAGAACTGATGTAGCTTGATATGACACAAAGAATTACTTATAAGCACACCTCGTTACATATACTCTTATGTTAAATGACCAACCAAACCAATTCAACGGCTTTGATCTCACCAACCCCACCTTTCTCCTTTGCCCCACCTCACTCATTCCTTTTCTTAATTCAAATACCATTGAAAAATCTCATCATTAACTCTATGCTTAAGACATGTTTCGAATGATTATCTCTCAGAAAACATTTTTTTCTCTCCATAAATTCTTCTCAAAAGTTAACCAAAAGTGATTATTTATCTTTATAAAGTAAACCAAATACGCATTAATTCATCCTTCTTTACGTTTATATTTGATAACATTTATGTGCAGGTTTGAGTTTACTTAATTTTTAAGAAGAAAAAAAATAACTTTAAAGTTCTTTAAAACTTTAACTATAAACTATTCTGAATATTTAAAACTAATTAATTTAAATAAACACACTAAAATTTATTTTTCTTGTTTATTCCTTTTAATCATACGAACTAGATTAGTTTGGATGCAACAAAGAAACAATTTGTTGGTAAAATTAGTGAATACTTAATATGAAAAATTACCATTTTGAGCGGATTCAGTTTTACAAAAAAATACGTGTGATATACATACCAAAGATAAAAAGAAAAAAAATAAAAAACTAAAAAAATGGGATTAAATAAATAAAATAATTGTACGAATATTATTATTTTTAAATTAATGACAAATGACGTAATAAAAGTTTAAAAATTGACAGCTTCTAGAGGGAACTGCATTAGTTCGCGAAAACCATGATGATGATGATGTGCGTGACACCATCCTATCATCATTAATCATGTTGTAGGCAACGGTGTCGTTTTACCTACCAAACGTACAAAAAGGCAAAGCCCAAAAGCAAATCGAGAAATTAGCCACTAATTAAAAATTATTATTATGCTAGCCAAGCTAATCAATCCAATGTGCAAGTACACATCATTATATATATATATATATATATAT